AAAGTCTCTGGTCTGGCCCTCTTCTTGGGGTGGAGAGTTCAAGGAGTCAAAGCAGGGTGCCTAGCAGAAGCCCTCATTTCTACCCTTCACCCTTCTAGACCAAGCTCTGGCACCTGGAACTGAAGAATCCTCGCTTCAAACAAAATAAAACCTGCTGCCATTACATTGGTTCTGACCCACAGCGGCCTGATAGTGCAGACTAGAACTGTCCATAGGATTTCCAAGGCTGCAAGGTTCTATCTGTTGGACTCAGGGTCACTGTGAGTCATGGCTGGTTGGATGGCACCTAACAACAACAGATGTTGACGGAGGCTGATTGACTCATCTTTCTTCTAGGGTGCGGCTGGTGGGTGTGACATGCAGCCCTTTTGGTTAGCCCCTGAATGCTTTAACCCACAACCACCAGAACTCCCACTCCCTTTCCAGGTGGCCCTAAACCCACTTCTGGGGGCGAGGTGGGGAGGTGGGCACCCTGGGTCTCAAGGGCTCTGCAGGCCTGAGGCAGCGGGGATTCATCTTGAGTCCGGGAAGCCCTCAGTGAGAAGGCAACAATTTAGTTGAAGGAACAGGATCAGGGTGGGATTTCAGGCTGATGGCTGCCTACTGCCAGGACTGCTCCAGGGGCAGTGAACAGGGCCTCCTCCAAGACTTCAGGGGCACCTCTGATATTTCAACCACACAGCTCCTGCAGGCCCAGGACTCCCAGTTCTGTGTCACCCACCTTAGCCTTGTACAACTAAGAAAGACCAAGAGAGCTAAGGACCAACGCAAGCTGAAGCCTGGGGGTTGGGTGGCCAAGGAATAGTGTCCACTTAGAGCTGGGCTTGATGTCAGAGCAGGGTGCAACTCAGAGACCACCTAGTTTTAGCCCCATTTTATAGATAAGGAGACTGAGGCCTAGACAGGCTTTATCCTGCCAGAGGAGACAAAGCTCGGCTTTTTCTTTTTTACTAACCCTCTTCTTTTTGAGGCCTCAGTCACTGCTGATTTAACAGTCTCTCTCCTCGCCTTAAAACAAAACCCACCAAAGCCTGTGGGAGGGGTCACCGCGGCTTGTAAACTGCACTGAGAAATATAAAAACCGCAGCTCTACCTTTGAGCCTAACCTTCAACCTCCACCAAGCCTGTGTCCCCTGCAGCAGCCACCCCTTGGACGTGGGTGGGCCCAGCATGCCCACCAGCCACCACCTTCCTTCCGTCAATAAAAAATGAGCAGAGCAGATGGTCTAATGAGACCCATATTTCCCTGAGTTGCTAATTAAAGAGCAAATGCAACCTACCATTAATCTGGTCCTGGGAAAAATAGTTGGCCTGCAGCAGACAGAGGACAACAGTCAGGGCAAGACTCTTTGAATGTCCCCTCCCCAGCCCGGCCGCCAGGGGGACGCAGGCCCTCACCCACCATTGATCCTGCTCTCTGAGGCCACCCGTGGGCTCTGGTTCCCAGACCCGGGATCTCGGTTGTCTTTCCTCCCGGCTTCAAGTCGAAAGTCCGCCAAGCCAGGTGGAGGCCTCAGTAATAAATCCCCGCTGCCATGGAGACCGGGCCCAACGCCATGGGGGTCAGGTTCCAGCTTCCGGAGCCCCAGCCAGGGCCTGGACAGGCAAGGACAGGAGGAGGCGGGCTCGCTTTTGAGGAAGTGGGATCATAAGGGCCCTTCCAGAGACTCCAGGGAGCCCCTTCCCTGGAAACTGGTGCCCTGTAGCAAAATGATAAACACTGCTGTTCCTCACTGGGTGCTATGAATGGAGGTGTGCCCTACCCCCAAAAAAGATAGGCTACCTTGGGTGGCCTAGTTTGAGTAAATAGGGCTTTTCTTTGCAGATGTTAACAGCTAAGACATTCATTCCAGGGAGAAAACCAAAATCAAGCTGGTGATGGCCCACTGGGTTTCTGAGGCTACAATATTTTTACAGAAGAACCCTGCCATCTGTCGCCCATGGAGTGGCAGCAGGTTCCAACTGCTCCCCTTGCTGTAAGCTGAGCGCTTAACCACTGCACCATCAGAACTCCCCAGAATAGGATGGATCCCGACTCTAATCGCTTCCAGTAGGCATTTTCTAAAAGAGCCAGACTGACAGAGAATCAGACACACAGAAGGAAGGTGTGATGATTGAGGCAGATGTCTCTGCAAGCAGGGAGGACACCTCCAACCTGGTTTGTTTGCAGCCACCAAAAATTCGGAGAGGAGCCTGGGACACTTCTCTCAAAGGCCCCAACCAGAACTGTGAGAAGTGAAAATGTGTCATCTTGACAATCACCCACTTAGTAGTATTTTATTTATGTCAGTCTCAAGAGAGTGAGGCACTGGGCACCTTGTACCCCAAAAGAAAGAGTGGAAAACAGAAAGGGGTTGCAGGAATGGGGCTGGCCCTGCGTCCTCCCTCATATCTGCTTCAAGGGGACCTTCTCTCTCCTCAGACTAAACTGAGAGGGGGCTTGGCTAGGCACTTGGCACATGGTGTGTCACACAGAAGGCTCATGGCCTGTGTGACCTGGAGACAAGAGTGAAATATGTTCCCAAGATGACACATCTCAGATTATCTGACTATAAAGCTGTGGAATGTGGTATTGTAGGGTGAACACAGACTTGGAGACTCCCAGACAGAGACTGAAAATATGAACATTGTGAAGGATTTCACTTTACTTGGATACACAATCACAACACTCATGGAAGCAGCAGTCACGAAATCAAATGATACATTGCATTGCTCACAGAGCTCTTGTGGCTTAGTGGTTAAGGAGTTGTGCTGCCAACAGAAAGACAGGGAGTTTGAACCCATCAGTGGCTTCATGAGAGAAAGAAAATCTCCTCCCATGTGATTTACAGCCTCTGAAAACTCACTAGAAGGCTGGGGATGAAACAACAACTAAAGATTGCATTAGGAAAATCTTCGAAGAAGTCTCTTTGAAGTGCTAAACAGCAAGGATGTCCCTTTGAGAGCAAAGATGCACCTGACCCAAGCGATGGCATTTTCAATTGTTTAACATGCTTGTGGAAGTTGGGTAATGAATAAGGAAGACTGAAGAAAAATGAGGGCCTCTGAACTGTGGTGTTGGCAAAGAATATCGAATATACTGGACTGTCAAAAGAACAACTATTTTGGAAAAAATTCAAGTAGAATGATCACTGGAGACAAGGATGGTGAAGCTTTATCTCGGATACGTTGGGCATGTTCTTAGGAAAGGCCAGTCAATCCCTGCAGAAAGACGTCATGCTTAGCGAAGTAGGAGTCAGTGAAAAAGGTAGACAGACACTAGTGAGATGGACTGAGGCAGCAGCTGCAACACGGGCTCCAGCCCAGCGGCCACCATGACAGCTCAGGGTCGGCCATGTTCCCCATCTGTTATACTTAGGGGCCCCTGGATTTGATGGCTCATAACAACAGATCAAAATTCAAATTCTCCCTCTGACCCTGAGCAACCTTGGTGCACTCATTCCTCCTGTCCATGCCTCAGTTTCCTGCCTGTGCTGCATCACAGGACTGCTGAGACAATGAAATGACCATTGTCCAGTGGGTTGTCCACAAGAGTCAGTTCCATCCACTCCTCTGGGGACAGGGTGGATGCCTGGGCTGAGGTCTCCAACCCTTCAGGGGACTCGGGAAGACTATTAGGTGGCTTTCCTGTAGCCAGGAGGGCTCCTCCTCTTCATCCTTACATCCTGCAGCTCTGTTCCTTTCTGGGACGCTGTTAACACTCCTAAATCCTCCAGGTCTGAGCTGCTTCCCTCCCCACATAAAGGAAATGGGGGCAGGGGAGGGGGCTTTCCCAGAGCAGCTGCCCTGCTTGGTGTGGTTCTCAGCTCCATCTCTGAGACCCCATTTACCCAGGATAGAGCTGGAGGTCTTAGTCCCCAGTTCATCAGAGGGCTCTAAATTCAGGGTCTGCCCACTAGGCCTGGCTGGACAGCATGTCCCCTGGCACAAGGGCTCCTGGGCCATAGACAAGTGGGCCTGGCGAGGGGCTGCCTTGGGCCAGAGGAAGCAAAATCTCTTCCTAATTTGTTCAAACACATGAGGACTGGAAGGGAGGGTGCTGCCTTTGGTCTCCTCTTCCCTCTCTCCTTCCTTGATCACTTTCATGTGGAAATGCTCTTGTCCACCATATTTTGTATCTTGATTTACCTTTTCACCCTGTTCCTCCACGTGGAGGAATTCTGGTTTGGGGACTCTTGACTTCTCCCTGCTGAGTGTGAAAGTGAGGCAAGATTGGCCTGGGAGGGCATCAAGGAGAGCGGTGTCTGGTACAAAAGCCTGAAGGGACCAGGATACCATTCTGTTGACCATCTGCCTGCTGAGCCACTCAGCATTTGGGAAGGAGGGTTTAAGGCAGGCAAGACATTTCTTTCCTTGAGGTTTAGGTCAGTGTGTGTGTGTTTCGGGTTGTTATATGCCATCAAATTCATTCTGATCCTTTATGACATTGTAGAACTGTCCCTAGGCTGTTAACCTACTCAGAAGAAGACCACCAATTCAGAAGCCAAGTTTAATCATTGCACTGTTAGGATTGACACCAACAAGGTAGGGAATTCAGTTACATGAGCCATTAGAACCAGAGCATTAGCCCCACAGTAACAGCATTACCAGGCTAATGAGCTTTGGTTATGTTTCCCCCAAAAGTATCTGAACTGATAAACCCTTGTAAAGTCCCTCCTTATATATTTTTATGTGTCTCCAGATGATGTTTTATGGCATTTGACACACCAGTGGCACAGCTTTCAATCTCACAGAAACCTCAAGCTATCTCAGTACAACAAACAGATAAGTGCTTTACCGCTTAAAACAATGTTCTCCCAAAACACTGTTAACAAGAGGCTTCCAGCCTACAGCTGATTATTAACCAGATCAAAATGGCCAGTCTGCTTACATTTCATTGTTAAAATAGAAAAACTCAAACAGTGTACACCCAGTTTTCAAGTGAATAAAAAAGAACTTACTTTCCAGAATCCAAATGTTCCAAGCTGAAGATTCACTCTCAGGCAGGATCCAACTGACTTTTAAATACAAACCCCCACCCACTAGGTCCTGATTTCTTTAACAAGAGGCTTCCAACCCACAGCTGGTTGTTAATAAAAAAACAGCCAGTCAGCTTATGTCTGATTGTTAACAAAATTAAAAATGCCCAGTTTACACCCAGCTTTCGAGTGAATAAAAAAAAAAATTTACCCTCCAGAATCCAACTGATCCCAGCTAAAGACTCATCCTCAGGCAGGACCCAACAGAATTTTAAATACAAAGGCCCAGCCACAGGACTATACAAAGGTATTTGACTGTGTGGATCATTGCAAGTTGTAGCTAACATTGAGAAGAATGGGATTCCCACAGCACATGATTGCACACATGCTGAATCTATACCTGAACCAGGGGCTGTTTTGCAGAGCAGGGGAAGACTATATGGTTTAAAATTAAGAAAGGAGTGATTCAGGGTTGTATTCTTTCTCCATATCTATTCAATCTGTATGCTGAGAAAATTATCTGGGAAGTTGGACTCTATGAAGAGGAGTGTGGCATCAAGATTGGAGGGAGATTCAATAGCCTGAGTTATGCAGATGACACAACCTTGCTTGCTGAGAAGCACTTGTTGCAGATCAAGGAATGCAGCCTTCGGTATGGATTACATCTCAATGTTAACAAAACAAAGATTCTTTCCACTAGACCAATAGGAATAGGCAGTGTCATAATGGATGGAGAAGACACTGTAACTGTCAACAGCTTCATCTTGCTTGGATCCACAATTAACATCCTTGGTACCAGCTGTCAGGAAATAAGGAGACACATTGCACTGGGAAAATCTGCAGTTAGGGACCTCTCCAAATTATTGAGGAGTAATGATATCAGTTTAGTTTGAGGACTAAGTTGAGTCTGATTCAATCACTTGCTATGCATCTGAGAGCTGGACAGTGAATAAGGATGACAGAAAAATAATTGATGCCATTGAGCTGTGGTGTTGGAGAAGAGCACTGAACATCCCATGGATGGTCAAGGGAACAAACAGGTGCAGCTGGAGTGCTCTTTGGAGGTAAGACTGATGAGGCTTCACCTCACTTACTTTGGGTAGGTTGCTAGGAGGGGCTGTTCCTTAGAGAAGGACATGATGTTGGGAAGGGTGGAGGGTCAGCGAAGGAGAGAAAGACCCTCAACCAGGTGGACTGACACGGTGACTGTTGCAATGGGTTCTTGCGTGTCAAGAAGTGTGAGGATGGCACAGGATAAAACAGGGTTCAGGTCTTTTGTTCATAGAGTTGCTATGAACTGTACTTGACTCGATGGCACCTACCAACAATCAACAACCCCTAACCCAGGGAACTCCTTCCTGTCTCCCAAATTACACCTAAAGCAAGACACCAACAGCCAGGCTCCGCACAACCTTTATTCACACATCTCATCCTCTGACCTTGGTGCCAGCAACAAGGCCTGGCCCTGAGGGGTACAAGCCCCAAGGGGGCTGCAGAGGAGGGCTCTTAACACAAAAGGACAGGGAGGCGCGGGGCTTCCTGAGAATATGAGAAGAATGCTGGGTCCTAGTGAGGCGAGGCAGGCCCTTTGAGACTACCAGTACACGTGGGTCAATGCTGCCTGGGACATGAGGCCGGGGTTCTGTTTGCCAAGGGGACCCCTCAACCTACTGTCTGGGAGAAGGGAGTCAGGACACTTCCTGGCCCACCCACTGGGGATGAGGCCTCCTTTTTCTGGGAGTGGGGCCAGAATGTGACTCAGCCTGAGATGAGATGGACTAGAGTGCTCACTCACCCTGGTGCCCAGCCAGGGGACCAAGATTGTGAGAACTCAGCCTTCAGCGCAGCTATAAATCTGTGGCCAGGCTGATGAGAAGGGGCACCCTGATTCTTCTAGAGTACCGAGGAGGCAGGAGTTTTGGCATAGGAAGAGCCAGGGGGAGAACTAGCACACCCGGGCACAAGGTCAGGCTGGTACAGTTGGGGAGGGAGCTCCTGGGCCTCTGGCTGCTGGAGCAGAGGACACTGGGAGGTGCCAGACTGGTTGATGGTTTGGGGCACAGAACCACTTCCCTGTTGGGAGGATAGTGGCAGGCATCTGTGCCTCATGGACATAACTACTTGCCAAAAGAATCTGCAAGGCCAGTCCCTACGCCACCTTGGGACCATCTGAGGCTCAAAGAAGGGAATGATTTGCTCACTAATTTACACAAAATTCATGGGACCTATGCGAGCTAGTTTCTAGTTAGGGGTGAACCCTCGGGGTGTACAGGTGAGAAGGACAGGCCAAGTCCCCTCCCCATGTCACCTCCATCCAGGCCCCAAGGAGCAGGATTAGTGTCCCCCCAGCTCTGAAACTAAACTTGAAAGATCAAACCTTATAGAAACTTGACCCAAACGAGTGCTATGATGTGCTCTGGGCATGCACAGATTGGTGCGCATGTGCACATGCATGCCCATCCCTGTGTATAGTGTGTACACTGCTCACATTTGCACACACACACACACACACACACACACACACACACACACACACACAGTGTCCAAATGCCCTTGCCGGTCCATGGTCTGCCCTGCAGGGCACTGGCGGCCAGGGCTCAGTGCTGGCTGCTGACGTGGAGGGTGTAGAAGGCCCAGGGCTCGGGGACGTAGATGACACCAGGATACTTCTTCCTGAGGACGGCATCATTCCACAGCCAGGCGACCCAGAGTGCCACAAGCAGGAGGGTGAGGGCAAAGGAGTAGAAGAGGAAGAGCCCATTGCTGTCCAAGAAGAGACGCTTGCGCTTCTGGTGCAGGACGAGCGCCAGCATGGCGAAGAAGGTGAAGATGAAGAGGATGAAGATCTGGCCCTCGGTGACCAGGTACCTGAAGAGGTGGGTCAGATGGGGTCCATGACAAAGCGCAAGAGCAGGTTAACGTCCCAACCCATTCCTGACTCAGGCTGTTCATTTCCCTTCTCTAGTTCCTACCTTTCAAATGTTTTAATGTAAACACCAGATTATCTATAAAATGTGTGTGCCTAGCTTCTCCAGTCAATTCTAGGTCTGTACAGTGCATGCCAAGAACTGACTAGAGGAAGCAGCTGTTCCACTGAGAGAATTAGTCTTCAGTTTGGCATAGTCCTCACCATTCCCAGTTGCCTCTCTAGCTGCCTGCTTGAAGCACTTAGGTTACCAGTTTTGTGTCTGTAGGCATTTGAGTTTGAGAATGAAGTTCTACCTTATGAAGCCGTCATTATTACTCCTGGGACACTCTTGGATCTCTCAAGGTTCCCTGCAGTTCTCATACTATACCAGGCAGATGCTCAGTAATACTCGTTGGAGAGGTTCTGCGAGCCCACTTGGTCCTCCCTGACCTCTGAAAAGAATGGCAGTGCTGACCCATCCTGTCCAGGAAGCTACAAGCTCTGCAACAAACACAGTGGCTTGAGGAGGTTACATGAGTTCTTGAATCCCTTGTTTTATTGTCAATAAACGAGCATAGTATACTAATTTTTGTATAAAACTCAAACTATATGTATAAAATACAATGAATATCAATGATAATATGCAAACAAATAAAAAATGTTCTAAAAAGGACATAACTGATTCTACTTCCCCAAGTTTCCGAGAAGAGCTGTGTGGTCTCTGATTTACAAGCCCGTCAACCTTCAGCTGCTGAGTGCTGCCCCCTGCAGCTATCACACCAACGCACTGTGGGTAGAAAGGGGCAGGAAGCTCTTCCCCATACCAGATCTCTTCTCCTCTCCATTTCTTTTAATACTCTTTCTTAGGGGGCAGGCCCTGGAGAAGATCCTTACAATTTTAGGGAGGCTTCCTCTCTGGGAAAGATGCAATTCTGGCCAAGCCCTTCCTAGGACACCCACAGGGTAGATGTGACACAGGAAGGGGGAAAACTTGGCTGCAGCCTGGGTCATCTGAAAGGGGAAGAGGGAGCTGGAGAGAATCCTGAAGAGGTGCTCCTGAAATCATGCCTCTTGTTATCTCCATAGTTACAGCTTATAAAGCCCTTTTTTCTTTCCATGAATCCTTACTGACTCTTGAGAGGAACACAGGCAGGCTCCATCATCATCATCATCCCTATTACACAGATGAGGAAGCTCATCACAGGGCTCTCCGGGGCTTGGTGTCAGAGGTAGTCTATTATTGGTTTGAGGGTGGCACAGGGGTGCTGGAAGCAAAGAGGGGCACTAAGAGAGGGCATGTGGCCCCCTGCCTCTCCCACCTCCCTGCTGCACCCAGGCCTGGCCTCCTGCCAACACAAGATGCCACAAAGGCACTGCCATGTTCTCCATGAGAAGAGAGCAGAGGCCCGAGAGGGAGACCCTCATGTGGGGTCAGCAAGCAGTGGTCAGGATGGCTCTTCGGTATTGTGATTAAGCCTCACCGCCACCCCCAGGCACCCAGGGCACTCACCAGTAGTACAGGCCACTGGGCACCACCAGGAGCAGGGCTGACCCCGGCATTGTGCTCTCAGCTTTGGTGGGAGTGAAGCAGCCGCTGAAGTACATGAACAGGATGAGGAAGAAGGGGATGTACCTGTAACATGGGGGACAGGCAGAATCGTGGGGTCGGCCAGGCTGCTCAGCCACTGTACCCAGGTCCTTCCCATCACGTCAGCTCATACATATTAAATGCCTGATTGGATGAGGCACTCATCCCTGCTCAGCCCATCATGCTTTAGGACCCCAGGTGGGAACCAGGAAGAAAAGGCTGTCAGATGGGCTGAGGTTATGGGGCAGAAGTTAGGGTTCCACATGGAAGTATGTGGGATGTCTTGTCTCATGCACAACCCCCAGACACAAGGAGCCCCAGCCCCACAGCTGGAAACGGGAATACCCACAGGGTGGGGAAAATAGAGACTGAAGAAAAGAGCCCCACCTGCTGGACGCCTCCAGGACCTCTGAGAAGGAGCTTGGCCACTCAGCAAGCAGCACCCCTCATTCCATACCTCAGTCCCACAGCACCTGGGGTCCTCTTCCCCCCTGTGCTGACTCTCACTCGCTCACCCCTTCCTCTCTTGTCCCACCGCCACCCTTTAATACTCCCCAGGTCTCCCAAGCTATTTCTCAAGGCCTCTGCGCCTTCCTTCCACAGCCTTCCAGGAGAAAGGGTCTCCTTGCAAAGGCTGGGTGTGGGGCTGAGAGAAACCTGCCCAGAGACCCCTGAACCTGCTGAGCCGGGAGTGGCCACTGTCGGTGCCCTGAATTATCACAAACACATGGGTAGAGTATGATATGACTAGGTCCCCTCACTCAGGAGTGAGGCCACCCTGGTCTTGGATAGTACTGTGACTTAGCAGCCATCCACCCTCTCAGCCCTCCCCACTCTGGCCTCAGTTTACCCTGTGTGAAGTGGAGGCCTGGAACAGAACTGATGACTTCTCCCCGCTTAAGCCTCACGTGGCTGAGCCCACATTTCTGAGGTTTTATTTCGACTGTTGAGTGAGGTGAGAAGGAGGTCCCTTCTGGGGGTGTGGGGGAGAACAAACAGCACCCAACACCCCCCACCAAGGTCCTGTCTCCTTGCTACAGACAACAAGCGTGATCCTCATGCCACCATCTGAGGGGCTGTTTATCAGGGCTGTGCCTTCCTCCTCCCTCTGCTTCCTCAGGCTCCCTCCAGTCTTGGCAAAGCCGACATGACAGCCACTCGGTGCCCTCTAGTGGCCACCACAGGCACTGCAGGCCAGGAGGAACAGGGCAGGATGCCAGGGCCCACGGCCAGCCTGTGGCTGGGACCCCAGCCCACAAACCACAGTACCCCAAGGGGAAGAGAACTGCAGCTGCTCCAATTGACAGATGAAGAGCAATGCCCAGAGAATAAGACACTGGCTGCATGCAGTCTCCCAGCCCCTCACTCACCACATGGAGTGGCCCAGGTACTCATCGTAGTAGTAGAGCAGCTCAAAGGAGTCGATCTGCAGGAGGGCACCGCGGGTTAGAGCTTAAAGTGAAAGTCCTTTTGGGAGAATGCCTGGTCCCAAGCAATCCCTCCAGCCTTCCCCATGCCGCAGCCTACCTGCCCCTATTCCTTACCTCAGGCCTGGCCTCTCCCCTAGCGGCCCTGATAAGAGCTAGTTGCTGCATCATGTGAGGATCCCAGCCTGAGATGGCAATAGAGTCCTCACCCACCCAAAGGAAAGGGCAATTCCCCCACCCCACAAGGGTAGACTCTACCCACAGGGCTCACTTGCAAGGAGGGGGCGGGGCCTCACCAGCGTCTCTGGCTTGAGGTTCTTGATGATGGGGTTCTCGCGGACGGACAGGTGGTGCTGGTAGCCACTGAAGAGCAGGCGGTGGTTGACGGAGTCGCCCACCAGGTGGATGCTGGCGCCCATGATGAAGGTGATGATGCTGACATAGATCATGGAGCGCGGCAGGGTCCGGGGGGACCGCTCAATGAGCTGAGGTGCAGAGTGAGGGGTGTGACACCCGCCCAATCTCATCCTCCATCACAGTCTATGACCTCCCGGACCCTGGGGTGGATGGGTGCTACTGGCTGGAAAGTCGCTCCCACTGCTGGGTCCACAGGTGAGTCAATGCCAGCTTCTAAATTCTCCCACAGTCACTGTGCGCTGGGCAGAGACCAGGGAGGGGACAGTACCCTCCTCCTCTTCCCAGGACAGAAGCAGAGTGGCATACAGCCTTCTAGGCCCCAGGTCCAGTCTGTCCACTGCCTACTGCTGCACCTAAAGCCACAAAGCCCCCAGTGGCTGGCCCACGTGAACATGGAGATTGGGGAGGGACTGCCTCTACAACTAGATTTTGTAACTGAAAGGGCTCCTTTGAATTTTGATATTTTAACCTTGCTTTTGGGGGAAATATCAGATACCTTTCTTACAAACAAAAATATGCAGAGTAGATGGTGGCACTTAAGAGCTCAGAGCTGGCAGCCATAGCCCATGATGGGAATCCCAGACCTGAGGGCCTCCTGCCACCTGGTCCCAACCTGCCTTCCCTGGACCTCTCCAATCACTCCGGGCCAGCCTAGTGCAGAGAGGAGGGCAAGCAGGAGGGAGGCTGGGGGCTGTACCTTGAGCAGGAGAAAAGGTGTGATGATGTTGTAGGCCATGTGGAAGTAGTCCCCCACGCTGGGCTTGTTGAGTGGAAACCATTCCAGAGGGAACACCAGCTGGAGGAGGAGGGAACAGTATTCTTCCAACACACCCTGCCAACCCCACCCAGGAAGCCAGCCCCTGCTCCTACCCAGCCACACACACTTATGTCTGTGGTCTCCTCAGACCCTGGCCCTGACAGAAGGCACTACCAAGACGGGGAAACCGAGCCCCAGAGCAAGCAAATGGACTTGCCCCACTCACACAGTTGATGCACCTCTGGTGTCTGACCTCTATGGGTCTTAAATAAATGTCCCTGGATCCCAGCTGGGAGTCAAGACGAGAATCCTCTGGGGCTCAGTTGTGTCATTAACTTGCTGGGTGACCATGGATAGGTTCTCTTCCTCAGTGAACCTCGGTTTCCCCATATGAATACAAGTGGGGTGGCCCACGCTGCTCCTTGGGCCATTTAGTGCTCTGGACCCCTTGGTCTTAGGATGACGATGACAAGATTCCCTAACCATGAGGCCAAGCACCCCACCCCAGCTGTGGCAAGATGCTGTCCACTGAGTGATGGGCCCTTCCAAACCAGGTGGAAGTATAAATTACAACACAGGAGAAATCCCATTTACTGCAACGTAGCCTCAACGCTGCCATCCCTTGTCAGGGACAGGAAGGCAGGTCGGTGGCAGCGCCTCCCTTCTGAATGTCTCCTCTACTCTCCCCTCTCTGCTGCCTATCAAATCCTGGCCTAACAGGCTCAGTGTGAAGACCCTCATGTCACGAAACCCCCAAACTGTGCCCCCTGTATGTTTTGGCTGAGAATACGATGACTAACAGTTTCAATCAAAAATTAAACATGTACTCCTTTAACTTAGACATGCCAGGCTGCAAAAGGTGAACTTGCAGAGATAAAACCTCCAGATTACAGGGACCTCAATCTATCTTTCTCTTTCTCACTCTCAGGGTATGTCTGTCTGTATCAACAAGGATTTTGTGAGAGTAAAATAACAACTATGCAGTGGACTTAGATCGCCAGAGAGGCATGGCCTCTGGGTCAGCAGCGAAACTACCTAGGGACTATGGCACCAGAGCGCTCAGAAGGTGAAGAAACCTTGTATGTACCAACATGGGGTGCTATGTGTGATTATCTCCTAAGCTAAAACATGCCAGTGTAAAGTAAAAATCTCATTTTGGTTAGGAAAAAAGGCTGAAGGGAGAAAAATCCCTCCGTAAGTATACACGGATTCATACGTGTTGAGAAAGGAGTGGGAGGCCATGTGCTCCAAACTGTCAGAGGTAGAAGTGCAAATGATAGGCAGAGAGGGTCTAATTTATCTTTTTTGTATACTTTGGAATAGACTGACTTGTAGCTGACCCTCCAGCAGGTTTTCAGAGGCAGTTAATCACATGGGAGATGACTGCCCATCCTTTTCCGCAGAGCAGCTGGTGGCCTTGAACTGTGTGCCTTCAGGACTGCAGTCCAGTTTCTTGCTACTAGACCACCAGAGTTCCCTATTACTTGTATAATTTACAAATATTTGTTTTGCTTCCTCATTACTACAAATCTGGAGTGAGCTATCTGTCTTAGGGATCTATGTACCTTCTGTGTTAGGGATCTGGTTAAACTTGGTCCAGTAGTTTAACATGTGGTCAGGACACATATGACTATTCAGGCCCCTCAGGTCTCGCATGAGGGCTGGGGTATATAGTAAGACTAGTCAGGCCCCTCCTGACATTCTGGCAGCTGCTTCAATGGCCACAGTCACAGAGTTAGAAGAGCCAAAGGCAGCAGGCCTATTCTCTCAAGTGATTTGCCTAAGGTCACTTAGCTTATTTAAGTCACATAAGTCTCCTCCCCACTGGGCAGGGTCCAGTTCACAGCTTCACTCACCATGGCAATGGGGCGGCCAAAGTCCAGGACCCAGTTCTGCAGGGTGAAGTAGAACCAGAGGTCGAGGTGGAAGGGAGGCGTGCGGGCTGCCTCGTCAGTCTTGACAGAGCCGTGCCTGGAAAGGAGCCACACTGGGTCAGTACGTCCTTCCTCCTGCAGGAATCTCCCCAGAGTGGAGCCACAGAGCGGCTTCAGAGCCACACACTAGACTAAGTTCTAGGGAAAGGATCATGGCTCTGATCTTGCTTATCTGTGCTTCAAGAACAAACTGCCCAGCAAGGAGGGGAGCTGCTGGATTCCCCCCAGAGGAAAGCAGAGGATACAAGAGCAGCTGAAAAATGTACAGCATGATCCTAGTGAGGACAGCTGCTGACCTTTATTGAACTTACTGTGTTCCGGGGACAGTTGCTGGCTGCTATCTACCTGTCATTTAATTTTTTTTATTTGAAAGATTACAAATCATATTGGATTTCGTGAAACAATTATTTTATATTTTAGTTTAGAACATTAATTAAAATTGATTAATTACCATGTCTCATCAAACTCTTACTGTAAATTGCCTTTCCCTTCAACCAACTTATTAATTTTTGCTCCCCTTTCCTTCCCTTTTATCCCTCCAAGAGTGATTCTGTGTGGAAATATGTTTTGATCCTCACAGAAACCTTTTGAGATTAGATTATTACTCCCATTTTACAAGTAAAAAAACTAAGGCCCAAGAGCTTTAGTAACACGACTAAGGGTATACAGCTAACGATTTGGACCTAAATGATTGGGTTCCAGAGGCAATACTTTTAATTTCCATCTCGTCACTGTGCCCACAGTTATTGGTCCATGAGATGGTCATGTTACCACTAGATGGACCAATTGGAGCCCTCCAATGAGATTTTGCTGGGCAGAGACTTAGATGGAGGGGAGCTCCCCTCCACCCCTTGGCTGGTAGATGGAGAAGACCTGGCCACAGAGTAAGATGTCAACAGGGACAGGATGAGAGTGAGAGGTGCCTGTTTCTCCTACAAAGCAGTTTGCCATCTGCTGTTCCCAGATGAGCTGACCTTCAAGGGCCAGTGCATGTGTCTCCTCCTCTGGGAAGGGTTCCCTGATGCCGCCTTTTCCCATAGCCCTGGCAGCCCCACCACAAGGACAAACTTTTCATGTAACTCTCCAGAAGTGGGTTGCCCTTTAAGTTTCTCTTAGTTCACAGCTCTACTATAGCATCCCTGATGTTACCTGCACACCTCCAGCAGCGAGCATCCCACTACCTTCTAAGATGACTGTGCTATAAGCTTTACTGTCTTGTTTCTGTCAATAAATGTCAGTTGTGTCATTTCTGCCAAGAACAGGGACAATATGACACTTATCTGTATTCCCCATAGTTCTTGGCTCAGTTCTTGGCTTAAGTTCAGTAATTATTGGCCGACTTAGAGGCTTTTCTGTTTAACCCTCCTGCATCCTTTTCAGTCTACCTCAAGAACGGTCCACACTGGGCTAGAAGATCAGGGAGACAAGCCCTAGGAACATATTTATCGTTGTATGGCAGGAGGTAAGAAGAACTGGTGGTGCAGTGGTTAAATAACGTTGACTGCTAATCAAAAGGTCTGTGGTTCAAGTTCATAAGCCGTTCCTTGGGAGAAAGCTGTGACAATCAGCTTCCACAAAGATTTCAGCCTTGGAAATCGACTGTGGCAGTTCTGCAGTCCTATAGGGTCACGATAAGTCAGAATCAAATTGTGTCAATGGTTTTGGCTGTAGTGATGATACTTCTTTGGCCACAAAGAGGACCTGGGATCCAGGTTGTCTCAGTGGCACTTTTCCAACTGGAATTGGTGAAATGAACCAGTTTCTGATCTTGTTTCTTCAACAATATAAGTCCAGGGCTGCCTGCAGGCAAGGTTCTAGACTCAAGGGACAGGCAGGTGTGACTCAAGAAACTGGAGAGAAAGTGGGGGTAAAACAGCCGGGACAGTCCTCACGTCCCCAGTTCCAAGTCCCTAACGTCATGCAAGCCAAGACTCTCCCTTCTGTTAAAGGTGTGGCAGTTCATACTGGATTTCGGCCATTTGCCATCCAGGAATCCTGAAAAGCACAGAATTCAAGCTCAGGCTCTATCTGGATTCAAAGCCTGTGCTCTTATTAGTTCACTATTCTGCTCTGGTTGTTGTTACTACAAACCATATAGTGTATGTTAGCAAGGGCTCAGTATGGTTTGGAACAGTACACAGACTACCTGAAGGAGGGAACCTTGAAGCAGGGGTGGGTGAATTTGCCTACCTGGGAAAGTAGAGCAGAGGCTGGGGGTGGAAGTGCAGGAAGGCACCACATGGCCTGCCCTACAGGAGGGAGAAGAGGTGGAAGGACTGGCCGGTTCTTCAGACTGAACTGATGTCCAGAAACCGTGAAGACTTCTCAGGGGCCTAAATGAGTGACCAGCATGGAGACCCCACCTTGCCTCCTCCCAGTAGTGACTATGAGGACAAGTCTTTAAAAATCAGGCAATGGTCTAACATCAGGGGTCAAAGAACCTGGATGGGACAGGTGAAATCCCTCAGGGTTTTGCTTTTTGCTCTGAAAATCTAACTGAGCAAAGATTTGCTTAAGGGTTTGCTGTAGGTTTCCCCTCAAAGGCAATGAGTTTAAAGTGTGGGTTTTTGTGAGCAAAGTAGAAAAAAAAAAGAAAGAAAGAAGGCAGCTGTAGGATAGCATCCAGCTTGGGAATCAAGATGTCATACACGTGAGACCGTAGGCAGGCTTTCTTCTGTTGAGACAGTGGAGGCAGGTCATGGAGGAAAAGGCATCTCTTCCTCCAGCCCTGCCCAGGGGATGAGCAACTGTAAGCCTGACCCTGATGTTGACACCACGGTTCCTGACTGGACCCAGCCTGGCCAGCCCTTCTTCTCCATCACCAGAAACTGGTGCCAAGAACAATGGAGAAAGCACAATACAGGTAACCTGAACCAGGTCTGGCTGTTCTCTCCTCCACAGCCTGACAAGTCTACCAGATGGAGAAATGGACACCGTGACAGTCAGGGAGCATATACTATACACTTGAAATATTCAAGGCAGCAGCATCTGGAGGGCTGCTCAGCAGAAAGGGGTCTCATCCCAGGAGAGTCAAGCAGGAACCCACAGATGGGAATTAGAAGAACTGGTTTTGGTTCCTTATAAAGACTTTAATACAAACAGTGACCTGATAGAAAGTTTGGGGTAGGGGGGAAGAGGAAACGAAGGCAAACAATGAGAAGGAAAATAAACAAACAAGAGCAATTAGAAATACCAGGGGAAACATTAACATTTACCCATTATCATCTGTTTTAAGTTTGACTCACCAAATTTAGAATTTGTCAGTATTCTAATAAAAAACATTAAAAAAAGGAAACAAACACCAGGAAAAACAAAATAAATATAAGGAAGGAAATGTAACCATTAAGTATGACTTGGCTGTGCAGGGAACAATATTTAAGTGGGTAAAATATTGTAAACCGAAATCCAGCCCACTGCTAGTGCATCAATCAGTTCTGATTCACACTGATCCTCTAATACAGAGGCTTCCAAAGCTACAAATCTTTACAGAGGCAGCTTTCTGCCCCAGAGCAGCTGGCATGTTTGGACAGGTTACCAACCAACTAGCAAATTACTACTCTAGCAGGGTTCTCAGAAAAATTTAAAGATCCCGTGTTGATTTTCTTGCTTAGATTAATCCACAGACCAAATGTGGAAGACAATTATGTTACAGAAGAGTTGTTATGTACCACAGAGTTATAGCTGACCCTCCAGCCGGCTTTCAGAGGTTGTAAAATATGAGAGGAGATTGCCTATCTTTCTCCTGAGGAGTAGAGTAGCTGGAGGATTCAAACTGCCTGCCTGGCACAACTCTTTACCACTGAGCCACACAGAAGAGTAGATAAATATTATCAATTTTGACAAATTGAAAGTAAAAATACAAATGATCGAAGTTGGAGAAGGGGTAAAGAATGATAAAGATTAAGAGCAGGGCATTAATATCCTTTTTTTAAAAATGAAGACTCAAGAGATACTGCTAGAGATGAGATACTGAAGATAAGGAATCAAGAGTGAGTTGGTCAAAAAAGAAATAATGATCTATGTTCATCCTCCTAAGGTTACAAGATAGAGCTCTGGTCGATACCACTAAGAAGTTGCACTGCAATCCTGAAGGCAAGCAGTTCAAATCCACCAGCTATTTTGCAGAAGGATGCACAATCTCCCTCCATGAGATTAACTGCCTCTAAAACACGCCCCCGGGGTGGGGGGAGGTCAGCTATAGGTTGGTTTCTGACTCCATGGTACACAATAACAGCAAAGGCTACAAAAGGGCGTTCTGGTAGCTAAATGGTAAGAAGTTATGCTGTCAACCTAAAGGCACACAGTTTGAATCTACTAGATGTTTTGTGGGAGAAAGATGAGCAATCTCCTCCTGTGTGATTTACTGCCTCCGAAAACCTACTGGAGGGTCAGTTATGACTTGGTTCTGATTCCATAGTACATAACAATAACAAGACTACAAAGCTAATTTTTATAGATTGAATTGTATCTCTCAAAAATTTATGTTGAAGTCCTAACACAATGCCAGGTACCTATAAATAACACATGGCCTAAATATAGGGCCTCTTTTTTGGGGGGCTTTTAAAGATGCTATCATCCTCAGGAATCAATGGTATACCAATTGACATATTTCAACAGACAGACAATGCCCTGGACATGCTCACCAAGTTGTGCCAAGAAATCTGGAGGACAACCACTTGGCCAACTAACTGAAAGAGATCTATATTTGTTCCCATTCCAAAGAAAGGTGACTTGTCAGAGGCTGGGCTCTATGAGGAGAAGTGTGCCATTAGGACTGGAGGAAGATTCAGCAACATTCTGCATTATGCAGATGACAAAACCCTGCTTGCTGAAACTGAGGAGGACCTGAAGCGCTTGCTACAGAAGGTCAAGGACTGCATCCTTCAATGTGGATTGAAGCTCAACATCAAGAAAACAAAGATTTTCACTACTAGGTAGATTGGTGACATAATGATAGATGGTGAAGAGATTGAGATTGTTAATGGCTTCAGTTTGCTTGGATCCACAATCAATACTCTTGGTACCAGCAGCCAGGAA